TTAGGAATCTTGAGTTACAGATCATGTCTTTTGTCCCAGATTAAGCACATTTAATCATTAATTTGAAAGAACAAAGGAGACTGCTCCATTTTGGACAAAATGGATTTATTCTGGTCTCACATTAGCAAAATGGAGTCACTTTTGGTCTCACAGTCCCAGGCTGCTGAAGGGCAGATATGAATGCCTTGCCAGCTGTGAAGGAAAAAGTTGTCTGAATCCAGGGCACCAGACTGTGGTGGGCTTTGGTCTTGGCCCTGCCATTAAGCAGGACACCTCCCTGCTCTGGGCCTCAGCTTCCTCTGTAGTAAAGTGAGCTGGCTGGATTTCAAGATCCCTTCTGTTTTGATAGTTGGTATTCCTGGAGGGTGGATTAATATGTTCCAAATTGAAGAAGCAGTCATATGGCCAGAATGTATTCAGTATAGATTCAGTATAGAAATTCAGTATAGAAAGTCATGTGTCATAGAAAAGCTTTCCTCTATTAAAATATTTTCTTGAGCACTATCCTAGGTGCTGGGTTTGTGCCAGTAAGCAAGACAAACCCTGTTCTCATTCACATGGAACTTGAAGTTTATTGTAAGTGCTAAATGACAAACTGACAAGCAATTATATTTCAGGTCAGTAAGAGCCTTGCTGGGGGAAGACCACAGAAGCCCACCAGAAGCCTAGACCGAGGCAGGGTGAGCTTGGGATAGTGGGGGCAAGGCTTCCTGGGTAGTGGAGGTACTGTGAGCTGGACTAGTGCAGGGAGGAGAATAATGCACCCCCCAAATATCCATGGAATCTGCGAATATGTTATCTTACATAGCAAAAGGAACTTTGGAGATGTGATCAAATCTTAGGATTTAATCCCTTGGGATGGAGAGTATTTTGGATTATTCCAGTGAGTACAATAAAGTCGGGTGAGTCTTCAAAAGAGGAAACTCTTTTTTTCTTTTTGGTGGAAGGAAAAGTTATTTATACTTTTATAAAAAATTGAATTATACAATATAAAATACCCAAGAGTCAGATGGTGCTACAGAAAACATTTTTGCTTCTTTTTCTTAGGAGAAAGATATATGGAAACTTTTCTCATTTTTTTTTCTTCATATCTCTATATCCAAAGTTAAAGATAGATTGATTGTACTACAGGGTCCATCATATCTTCTGAACTGTAAACCACTAGTGTCACTTTTCTTCCAGCCTTAGCCACCAGGAAAACAAAGCCTCATGTGCTGTATATGATTCCACAGGAGAATGAAGAAATTCGTAATACAGTAGCTACTCATCTTACGGAGGGAAATCGAGTTTCATCACTCAACTCAAAACTGCGCTGTTTCCACTTACCACTCTTTCAACTAAGTACAAGACACACTCACAGGTTAGCTGCTGCACCAGCTGCTCCTTCTTTAAAAGAATGAAAAAAATATGTAAATATGAAGTGCCTAAAGACTTCTGAAAAAGAAGTGAACAACCACTTCATTCTCTAGGAGAAAAAAATCCTTCCTTTTGTCCAAAACTGTGTATTTACGTGTGTAAATATGAGTATTTATACAGAAACTGTGATGGCTTATTCACACAAGAAATCAACCTTGATATCTTTGTGCCTCTTTATTACATTAAAAGTTTAAATGCAGGGCCAGGTATTTAGCTCAGTGGTTTCACCGCCTGCTGCACAAGCGCAAGGACTCGAGTTCAATCCCTGGTACTAAAAAAAAAAAAGTTTAAATGCAAAAGTGGACTTTTGTTCTTGTCCAGTAAATCTATGTCAGTA